CTTCGTATTAATCGACATTTACATAAACGTATATTTCATTGTCAAGCAATTCAAAATTCAAAAATTAATAATGGAAATAATCAAAAACAACTTCGAATTCTTTCAAATACACTTCAAATGGATGTTTCTTGTAAGTCCAAGAAGAAAAAAAAAGAGATTGAATTTCTCATTGTCGTCATTTTTAATTTACATTTAGTGTAACGTCTCTAGTTTTTCTTGTTTAATTCTATTTTACTTGTCAGACTATTGACCGATTCCTTGTCTCATTCAATTTAGTCAATACTCTTCTCTCTTTTCTTTACGTTACTAGTCATTTTTCGCTTGATTGCTTCATATACATTTGTTCATGAAATGTAAGTGTATATGAGACAAAGAGGAAATATAACTCGAGGGCGAGAGAATCTTCTTTTCCAAAGAGCATTCAATAGTCTATTGGGGTGTTTTTCTATAAAGTATTATGTATTAATAACGAACAGTATGAGTTAAAATGTGCTGTTTTATCTATAAAAGTCAATGGATTGTAGATAGCAGATGTTGAGTAAAGCGAGATTTCCTTCTTTTTTTTCTGTACAAATCAATGTGCTGATAGCGTCCAATTTTGTGACCAATTAAAACTGACATGTTATTAATCAACAACAGTCTTTTTCTTCTTCTTCATTCTCTTTTGATATGGACAAAGTTTTGGTTATTAGCTAGTATATGCATGTGTACCACATCTTTGAACTATCTATTACCAGAAAGAGAATAGTTGCTTTTCTTGCGATTAGTGCATATATATACGAGAGAAGAGAAAGAGGAAGGCGAAGAAGAAGAAGAGGACAATATAATCTTTTTTTTCTTCTATTTCCTAACCATTCTATTATATGTAACAATCTTTATCTATGATACTTTCATTTTCTAATTAAATCTTTTTTTTTAGGAGAGAATATTGTAAGTAGGCTATTTATTTTTATGAGATAAATTCTCATTTGTTTGTTTTTCGAAATAATAAAGAAAAGAGGTTACTAAAGGGCAAACATTGAA